CAGGTCCCCTACCCCCTCTCCACCAGCCCAGCAGGACGAGTGTCATTAAGACAGAACAATTTTACAATCATGAAATTACAATTTTATAATGGCTACATTTTAGGAAAGGGTATTTGATTGTAAAGGGTGAATTTCAATGTTGCAAACAAAATTAAGCAATCTTGGAGTGATTTTCACATACTTGAATCCAAATCATCTAGTTTAAAGTTCACTAGTTCTCTGTTTCTCCATAATTTGTAAAGAAACAATGATTAAATTTAAATAAGAAGAGATGCTTGCTTTTGTTAACTTCAGGCATTCCTTTAGTACATTTTCTCTGCAAAGGCTAACATTTGAGAGGTGATGCTTAGTAGTGAGTGGTGGCTCCACTGGGGGCAGAGACTCAGGCACCGGCTACTTACTCACCCGTATCCCAGCCTTAGTATAAGCACTTGCTACAGGTTCTCTACATTTGTCTATTAAACAGAATGGGTAATATTTATAGTAGTATACCATACTATCAAAATTAAGATAAAAGTTAATGTTTTAATTAATGTAGTAGATTACTAAGCAGAGAGAAGAGGACCTGTGAAATTAAAACATTTTACACATAAGTACAACTTTTTTTTCCTGATACTAAAAGATTTTTAACACCTAATCGTGCTTACCCCTCCATGTTTCAATCTTATGTTCCTCTAATTCATAAATCTGTACCTGGAAATAAGAAAAATTCCTGTTTAAAAATGTTTACATATACAACACGAGAAAAAAAATTACTTCATAACTACTGCTGAGTCCCATAATTTAGCAGCTGGAAACAAGGTAATTCCAAAATACTGGAAATATAAATGAGAAACATAAAATGCTCTATATTTATTTGAAGATGTTTTATAAATTTAAAACATAATAAATCAACATTATTTTCATTAAAGTTCCTGATACACTTAAACTTTAAAACACACACTGACATATATATGTACATACACGTACACACACACACCCACACACACCCACACACGATGTTAGGCATCTTTAATTTAAAGAGGGCAGTTGGTTAAATCATGTCCTACAGTTAAGCTGCTGGATCAGGCTGTGCCTGGACCACAGGGGTGGTCTTCACAAAGGCAGACGGGGTGCAAAGCCTGGAGGCTGGACAGCGGCTGCAGCCGGAGTCACCTGCAGTCGCTGGCACGTGTCTCACCGCGGCTGAGCTGCTGCTCTCGGCTAAAGCACTCAGTGTCTCTGAATCTGTTTCCCTTCCTAAACAAGGGGATAAAAGGCCCCACATCCAGCTTCCATGAGGACTGCAGGAGGGAGCCTGGCACAGAGCGCCTCCACGCCTGGCTCAGCTTAAGACAGTCACTCCGCCACCTGCAGCATTACTACACTGGGACTTCTGGGGGCGCCTGCGACAGGAAAACCTGGCCTCTTCTTGGAGCTTAAAATCCAGCTGGCAACACTGAGACAGTCCAATATAAAAATGGCACCAGCAAGTGAAGAAAGCATATGGATCAGCTCATACCCTACCAGGTTCACGACAGGGATGAGGGAGAAGCGGGGGTGAGCAGAGGTCAGCAAGGATAACGCCGAGGAGGCAGATTTCAGCCAAGCTCCGCATGTGGAGTGGACTTTACATAAAGAAGAAAAATTCAAGGAGGGGCCTGGAGAGGAAAAAAAGACTTCCTCACATTCCTGAATCACAGACAGAAGACCACACTGAAGAACAGGAGCGAGGGTCTGGGGACGACCTGACAGCGGCTCCATGTCTGAGAGCGGAGGCCGGGCCGGCACCGATGGGCATGAGCTCCGGGACCAGATGCAAAACTGAGTGTCAGGTGAGTTAGGTCCTGAATGGTGACTGTGGGAATGCGGGGGGAGCTGGAAGGAATAGCCAGAAGGTTCAGAGAATAATTAAGTAGGGGAGAGAGAGATGAATGAATAGTAAGAACCCCTATTTTGATGCGAGGTGACTGACTGATATTATCCAGGACAGAGAAGAAGCCTAACAGGAAGGTGAGGCTGTGATTTTCAGTTTCAAGTGGAACATCCTGGTCTACACCTGACTCGGGCAGTTCTGAGATGCCAGTGCTCGGCAGTGTGCAGGCCTCCCTGCCCTCCTCCCGCACAGCCCCTCAGACCTCCAGCTGCAGCCGTCAGCGCGGACAAGACAGCTAACACGGGGGACCATTATGAAGCAGGGCTGTTTCGGCCTGGCACAGGGGAAGCTGTGTGTGTGTGTGAGAGAGTGAGTGTGTGAGAGTGAGTGTGAGCGTGTGCATGTATGTGTGTGTAAAAGGTACAGACATGAGTAAGACTCAGGCTCCACCTCAGAGAACGTCCGACACCCCACAACAGCATTTCTCAGCCTTGGCGCTGCTGATGTTTTAGGCTAGACGGTTCTGCCGTGGGGCCTCCTGTGCACTGCAGGGTGTCCAGCAGCACCCCCGGCCCCTGCCCACTGGACACCAGTAGAACCACGCCATCCTTCTCCAGCTGTGATGAAAAAATGTCTCCAGACACTGACAAAAGTCTCCTGAGAGGCAAAATCACTCCCCGTTGGGAAACACGGCCCTACAACCAAGCAGAATACAATGTGAAAGGTGCTGTAGGTTAGGTGACGGGAGCACCGAGACAGTGACTGATTCTGCTCGAGGGAGACCAACACAGGGAGCTCCGTCACTACGGTGACTGCTGAGCAGGGCTCTGACGGCCGACAGTGTCAACCGGCAAGGACCAAGGACACCAAGGACCAAGGGTTGAGGAACTGGACTCTGATTTCCAAAGAAGAGAAGCCACTCAGAAAGAGCAGAGGAGCTAGAGGAGAAGAGAAAGAGCTGAATGGCCCAGGTTAGGGGAGGAGAAGCCAGGAGCCCACCACCACCAAGTGGGAGTGAACGCCTCCCTGGGCTCTGCAGAGGGAGGGGAGGACGCAACCACTGCTCGAGCACAAAATTTAATAGTTAAAAACCCCCAAGCTGTCCAGTACCTACACGTGTGTAAATGCAGGGGCTGACGGGAGAAGCGGCACCCTTGGCTATCATCATAAAGAGCAGTTCTTTCCAAAAGACACATGAACATTCCAGTTCAAACGTTCCACTTCCATCTTGTAGAAAATCAGCCAGAGGAAAATTTATAAAGAGGCTACAAATTCTTTCATGTTTAAGCTCCTAATCTCACTGAAAAGAAATGTTTAATAGGAATAAGGTTTGAAAATAAGATAGGCAATCACCAAGGAAGAACTGGTGAATTTAAGACAGAGCAACAGAAGTGACCCAATCTGAAGATCAACGACAAAATAAAGACTGGAAGACGAACAGCCTCAGAGGCCCAGGGGACAGCGTCAAGTGGTCTAACACACAAGCAGGCAGCGTCCCAGGAGAGGAGAGAAAGAATGGGATAAAGCATCTGAGGAGACAGCAGCCAAAACTTCCCCAATTAGGCAGAAAACCAACTTAGATCATGGAAACTCAACACACCTGGAGCAAGATAAATACAAAGACACATCACAGGTAACAGCTGAAATTCAAAGTTAAAGAGAAAAGTCTTGAGCCAGAAAGGAATGGTGCATCACACAGAGGACACGAGGGTGGCAGTTTCTACTGACTTCTCAGTCTCTATGAAACAGCAAAACCGGCCTTTAAAAATCAAGATGAAATAATGACATTGTCAGATGAACAAAAACGTAGAGAATTTATTACCAGCAAGATGTGGACTACACGGACACAGGTGGGAGTCCTTCAGGGGAAGGGAATGCTAACAGAGGGTGACTCAGATCCACAGAGGAGGAGCAAATGGCACCTACTGGGGTAAATACAGAAAAACGAACTTTTTTCCTTTTACCCTTCATTTTGTTTAAAATAAAAACGACAGGGGTAGATTAAATAGAACTATACTTTCATATAATTCCAATATTAACGCTAAGTAGGTTTTGGTGAGTTAAAATTGATACTGAAACTCATACAGGAACCACAAAACAACAGAACAGTGCAAAAAGGCATGGCTAAAATATTAATAGAGCTCTCTCTACCGGCCATGAGGGAGCCCATGGGACCAGACTTAGTCTCCTGCAGAAGCAGAGAACAACTAGAAAACGGGACGAAATCTGTGAAACAGCTGTTCTCAGACACGAGACAACAGGCTCGGCAGGCCTGTCATCCCCGAGGGAAGGGAAGCAAGCACGCTGAGCCCCGTGGCCGCTGCGTTTCTCTCTGGAGGCGCTTCCTGGACTGTGATGCTGAGGGTGACGGTCTCAGAGATGAGGAGGCAGAAATCAAAGCCCAGGCGGACTGAGCCGAATGGAACTTGCAGGGCAGAGTACCAGCAGACGGGAGGGAGCTGTCCAGAAAAAGAGAAGACCACACAGAGAGCTCCTAGAGGTGCTGACTGATCACTAAGCGGGGCACGCATGCATGACACGACGTGAGACCCGGCAGACGGTGAAAGACAGTTGCCTTCCGACCAGGCAGAGTGGAAAGTCCTCGCTGAACAACCAGGGAATTCCACGGAGGTCCCAGAAGTATTAGTAGAACTAAACCAGCTAGAGCAAAGATTAACGCCCCAACAAAGCCTAAAACCAAGCCTCTAAAGAAGCCTGGGAAAAGACACTCAACATCCCTTGCCACCACGGAAATGGAAATCAAAGTAACCATGAGATAACCAACTGCCATCCACTAGAATGGCTATCATCAAAAAGAGACAGTGATATGTGTCAGTGAGGATGTGGAGAAACTGAAACCCACATCCACGGCTGGGGGCAATGCAAAATGATGCGGCTGCTGTGGGAAGGTCTGGCAATTCCTCACATAGTTAAACAAAGGTTACCACGTGACCCAGAAGTTCTACTCCGAGGTCTGTACCCAAGAGAAATGAAAACATATATCCACATTAAATACTTGTACGTGAATGTTCATAGCAGCATTATTCACAATAGCTAAAAAAGTGGAAACCATTCAAATGTCCGTCAACTGATGAATGGATAAGTAAAACGTGGGCAAGCCATACAATGGAATATTATTCGGCAATAAAAAGAAATGAAGCACTGATATATGCTGCAACATGGAGGCACCTTGAAAACATTATGTTAAGTTAAAGAAGCCAGTCACAAAGTTGTATAATTCCACTTATATGAGATGTTCAGTACAGGCACATCTACAGCAACAAAGTAGATCAGTGGTTGTCTAGGACTGGAGGTGATGGCAGACCGTGGCATGTTGCAGCTAAAATGGTGCGACGTTTCTTTTGGGGGTAATGAGAATGTTCCAGAATTGATTCTAAGGGATGGCTGCACAACTCTGAATATACTGAAAGCCACTGAATTGCATACTCTAAATGGGGGAAATATAAGATATATGAATCACATCTCAATAAAACTTTGTAAAAAAGGATCTGCAAGCAGTTTGTCTGCCTAGGAAGACAATACAGATGTTCAACTACATAACATTAACAATGTCCAGCATCCACTAGAAATGATTATATTTGCAAGAAGCAGGAAAATGTGACCCGTAACAGGAGAAAAACTAGTCACTAGAATCAGACCCAGAACAGAGATGATGGAAAAAGCATCTGATAATACATGGCAGATATCTCAGGCATACAACAACTGAAGCAGTAGGTCAGGGATTTAAAGGAAAACATGAACATAACAAGGAGAGAAAAGGAAAATATAAAAAAGAACCAAATGGAATTTCTAGAACAGACATTATACTATATCTGAAAGGAAAAAAAATAGTAGATTAGATATTATGGAGGAAAATAACAGTGAAATTGAAGACATAGCAATAAAATATATTTGAAATGAAGCACAGAGAAAAAAATACTGGGAAAAACCCCACAGAACAAGAGAGTCTCAGTTGAGTAACTAGAATCCCAGAAAGTAGGGGAGGGGACAGAAAAATATTTGAAGAAATAATATCTAACAGAATGGAGGAAAAAAATATGATCTCAATAGCCACAGAGAAAGCACCAAACACAATTCAACATCCACTCATGATGCAAACATCCGGCAAACCTGGGAAAGGAGGAACACTGTGAGCATCAGAAAGGGCATCTGCGGAAAACCACAGCTGAGCCACTCGTGTCAGTGAAAACCGAGTGCTTGCCCTCTGAGACGGACACAGCAGGGAGGTCTGCTCTTGTGACTCAGTGCTGCACTGGAGGCCTCAGCCAAGGAAACAAAGCAAGGAAAGGAAGCACCGTGCCCACAGACTGCAAGACTCAATGCTGGTAAGATGCCAGTTCCTCCCCAACTGATCTGCAGACTCCCGATGGTACCAGCAGACTTTTTTTTTTCTTTTTTCAGTAGTTACCAAGAGACTATGGTACTGGCACAGACAGATAGGTAGAACAACGGAACAGGACAGAACCCAGCAACAGACCCACATTTAAGGCAGTAAAACAATTCTATGACAAAAAGAACGTCTTTTCAATAAATGGTGTGTGTGGGGGCGGAGTACATCTCAGTGGTAGAGTGTGTGCTTAGCATGCGTGAGGTCCTGGGTTCAATCCCCAGTATCTCCATTAAAAAAAAAAAAAGAAAAGAAAAAAAACAGTGTGGGTACAACTGACTGTATTCGCAGGTAACATCATTATGTACACAGAAAATCCTAACAAATGTTAAAAAAAACTACTAGAATAAGTGAATCTTTTAAAATAAAAGGTTAATATATAAGTCAATTGTTTTATATACTAATGATAAATGCTTAAAAATGAAATAAGCCATAGGTTTCACAATAGCACTTTTCTGTTTATAATTTTAAAATGAGGAAAAACGTGGAGAAAAAAGTGTATCCTCAAGTATTAAGAAAAACTTTGGACTGCATATTTAGTTATAAATGCTCTTCAGAAATTCTGATTTAATTAGCTATTGCTGAGACTTACTCTATGGGATTTAGCTACATTTTATCAAAATATACCCACTTAGTAATCATATTTGTGTTGATTTTGCTAGTTCAAAAGTAGAGATATGACCAATATAAGGAAAACCAATATTCAGCTGCACCGGTAGTATTAAGAAATCAGATGCGTCATGTGACATAAATACGGAATACTTACTAAGTCTGAGGTGAAACTTCCTTTTAAGAGTATGTCTTACGAAGAAACTTATTTTCCCGTTTTACATAGGAATTTAATTATTGGGCAATTTTGACCATTATGTGTAAAAACAGTATTAATTGGATCTTTTACCTATTAGATACTCAAAACAGTACTAGTTAAACAAAGTATATAATTCTGTCTTTCCCACTGTTGCCAAAAAAACAAAAACAAAACCCAAAACAACCAAAACCAAAACCAGAAACCAAATAAGCTGACAGAATCACAAAAATCACAGCGTCAGACAGAGGCCGTGTGCCGTTTTCTCGCTATGCTCTCACACAACAGCGGGGCCAGGGACCAGGGAGTTCTGCCACTAAAATCAGCCAGCAGCAGTCATTTCTTAACTGGCAGAAAAATGTCAGAGTTGAGTTTCTCCAATTTTAATTTTTACTTCTTTAAAACCACAGAGTACTTACAGTTCTTGTTGTAAAATTTCGGGGTAACTGCATGAAGCCGCACCCGAAGCGCAAGCCGGGAGGACAAGCCGTGTCGTTCAGCCTCCCGCCCCGAGGGGCCCCAGGCGGAGCCCCAACACTACAGCCTGCCTGCCCATAATGCCGCCAAAGATCTGAAATTTGGTGAAATCCATACCCTAAGAGTTCCACTAATCTGAGGATTTCTGAAAGCTGAATAAAAAAGCTATCATTGCCTTTCATTTTTCCTGAGACTACCTTCTCCAAGCTTCAAACATCAGACTGATTTATGCGGAGGTTTCCTGAACATTATATGTATCTGCAAAAATCAACCAACAGCACCACCAGTCTTCAACCAAAAAAGGAAAAAAACACAGAATCTGCACACACACACACACACACACACACACACACAGAGCCAGAAATACACAGCTCCATTTACTGACACAAGGATTTCTGGCACTTACCATGGGTGATTTATAGTATCTATGTAGTATATTAATGAAATCTGTAATTGTTAGCATTCCTGGAACAAAGAATTATATGTTAAATATGAAACTATCAGAACATCAAAGAAAAATGTCAAAGGACAAGCAAACCTGGAATAGTTACTAGAAAACCTTCTAAAATACACTTTAGGGATTGTAAGCACAGCTTAAGATATTACTTAAAACTATTACTCTGTTAATTATCTACACCAAACTAAGATACACAAATTTAGCTGAGATTAAATCTGATGGTAATTAATGGAATTAATCTCAGTATTTGGCAATTCTCTGAGAAAACTTTCCCAGTGTTACAAAACATCACAAAAGACTGGCAGCTACATGTAAATAATTTACGATCGTTTAAAATAAAATAAAGCATCCCATCAGTTTGAGAAACATGATGCTTGTGATGGCACTTGGATTGTTTTCTGAGAAGCATTCTAAAAATGGGCTTTCCTAGGCACTGTTTACTAAGTGCCCACTCTGTGCCAGACACCAGGACTGCAAAGATGAAGACACGAACCTTTCCCCTGAGGACGCTGGAAATTCAGGGAAGGCAGACATGAAGCAGTAATTTCAAAATAATGTGATGCTTACTAAGAGGGACACTATCCATTGTCCACTACAATCCATCAGATGAGAAATTATGGGGCTTGGAGACTGTAAGTTAGTTACACAATATTTTCAACAGCTTAACAACGATCTAGGAAAGGTATCAATCACATTTTCATCACTTCATTTGCCGTGTGAGAAAGGCAAATGAGACAGAGGAGGCAGGGATGCCCCCAGGTGGGAACGTGAGCAAAGGCGGCCGACAGGTGGATGTCAGACCACAGCATGGGGGCTGCGTTTCCTGGGCTTTCGGTGCTGGCAAAGCACGGAGCAGCCTTTGGAGCCAAAAAGGTGCTGAATCAAAAGAAACTCAGTAAACAAATATTTTTTTAAAAAAAATCAATATAAGTATATCACTGTTTTGAGTTTACTTAGCAGCCCCACCTCACCCAGGATGTAAAAGCAAGAATGTTCTTTAAAACTTGGTAACTAACATGTTGACTAAGCTGCTTTCCAAAACAGCACCTATTAAAATGCCTCAGGTTCTCAGATTCTTCCCCGGGCCGCACTGCTTACCTACAAAGCTCTGCTTCTTACTCTCCCACAGAGGCGCTGCTCGCACACCATTGGCTACTAAGGCAAAGAAGGCCTTTTTAACCTAAGACAAACAAGAGAAACAACACACACACTTCTAAAGTCCACACATGTGCAGGGAAGAAAATGCCTTCAACTCAAACAGCCTGCCAAACCTTACCTTCAACATTAAGGTTTGATAAGCTAAGAAATAACTGAATTTATTAGCATGAGCAATATGCTTTTGTATTAAATCGAAAGGTAGAGAGGAATTGAAGATTATTTTTAGAATCCGAAACAATGCAATTAACTTCAAAAAATTTTTTCTTATTGTATCTAAAGACTCTTGAATACAGACTTTAAATAATTAAAACCATATTAGAGAATTAAAATTTCAGAGTTTAATCTCTCCTATATGTGGTTATTAGTTCATCTCAAAACACTGAAGTTATATCAAATTACTTGAAATGAAAATGTTTTTCATAAGTTCAATAATAAAACAAGCATGCCTCCTCACGTCCTTGAGTTTGAGAAAGAGACGGTATGAGAATGTAATATACTCGTACTTTTTATACGTTCTACAAACATTCACCGCGCGCCTGCTGTGGGTTGGGCCCTGTTCAGAGTGGCTCACACACGGTACCTCGCTGTGCCCTCAGGACACACACCCTCTGGGACATCAAGACAGTGAAAGACGGCACCAGAGGTGATTTAATAAAAGTCAAAAAGCTCGGTGCTGAAAACGACCTCTAAATACAGAGAATAAACGTATGGAAAATGGCTCAACTGTACTGATAATTAAAGAAGTGAAAATTAAAACTGAATTTAAAGCATCATTTATAGCTTCTAAATAAGCCACTATTTTTTAGTTACAGCACCTAATCCAAGTGCAGCTGTAAAACCACCGGTGGCATCATAAATTGTCGGAACAGTTTTTGAGCCACAGCTTGTGTCACAAAGATATTCACGCTGTTTGTGTACTAGCTTTTTCTCTGTCAAATTATTTACCCATACAAAAATTTTAGCAGTAGGATTCCTAAATTAAAGATGTTCAATGTGGCATTATTTCTAAACCTGAAAAACTGGAAAAAGAACTGCCTCCAACAAAAGAAAACTTGTTAAATACTGGCATACCAATGAGAAAAAAAAACCAAACAGTATAATTATAAGGACTACATTTAAGTAAAAAAAGGCTTATGGCAGTGAAAATGCACACTATCAAATTATGCATTACAATGATACAAAACGTGTGTTTAAATGGAAAAGATCAAAGAGAAATAAGCAAAAAAATTTAAACTATACTAAAGAGCCAAGGCAGTAAATTTCTTAAAAGTTTCTTTTTATGCTGCGGTATAGTTATCTTTTTAACTAAGAAAGAAAGATTATTTTCTCACTACTGTATTCCCAAGCCCCTTGTTACTTAACAGTGAAAAAAATGAGAGAATTACAGGAACCCAGAGCTTCAAACCAGAGTAGGATGAATAATTCAGCACCTGTTTCTGCCTTTATTGTGACACATTCTGCCTTTATTTAGAATGACTCACGCAGGTGCCTGGTTCACCTACACAGGAGGAGAAGGACGACTGGTGGGAAAGGGAGACTCTCACTAGTTACCTTCCACCCTTGTCTCAGCCGAGTCCGGCGCCGCGCCCTGAGTACAGCAGGGATCCCGTCCATCAGACGGAGGAACCGGCAGAGAACGGGGAAGAGAAAGTGAGCAGAGAAAACCCAACCACATGAGAGAAACAGTAGCTAAATGGAGTCCATCAACTGGTAAAATAGTTTTTGAACCACAGCTAGTTATCAAAAGTCACAAAAATACTCCTACTGTCTGTGTCACTGAACAGCACGCAGGGCTGTGCAGTGGCGGCGCTACTTCTACCTGGGCGACGCGCTGGGAACCCTTGCCTGTGATCCTAGGAAACATTATGAAAGGATATGCGGGAAAGGCACAGATAAACAGATTTTGAAACACGTTAAATATCTGCTTAACCTGTTTTTCTAAACCTGCTGGAGTAGGCAGGGAGTGGGGGCACTTTTAAAACCACACAGTGCTTACTGTTTTCTCCAAAATAACAGATTTAGCAGAGAAAACCAGTATTAAAATCATTCATCAGGATCATTCATGGAACCCTAAGTGACCTCAGCTGTTAGCCATTCCAGAAAGTTCTGGTTCGGCCCTGATGAAACAGCTGAAAACTACATAAGTTGGATAAACATACAAATCGTGATTCGAAAGCAGAGCCGGGGGCGGGGGGCATCACACAGGCAGGATTCAGGAGCTACAGTTCATGAGAGAAAAGAAACATACAAATTCCAAAGTCACTCTGGAATTTTTCTGAAGGTATTTTCCAAATCATCTTCAAATAGGTGAATTTCAGTAGAAAATTGGAGTCTATCAAAAGAATCAAATAAAACCCAGGCAGGAAAAATACAAAGAAAATCACACCCGGCACATCATAGACAAGATGCTAAAAATCAAAGGCAAAGAGAAGATCAACTAGAGGGAAAACAGACTTTCAAAGCAGCGGCAATGGGACCGACGGGGACACCAACAGAAGCAGGGGTCTGACTTCAACACTCCATATAATGGCTGTTCCCTCAGAAACGCAGAACCGCTGCCAAAGAGCTCCCCAGCAGCCCCACTCGCTTCAGCGTCACCAAGTGAGGCTCGAGGTCGCTGCGGAGAAAACGGACGGGGACGACTGCACGGCGCTGACGCTCACGTGTGCGGCGGGGCGCAGGCTGGTGACGCCAGGGGGGGCTGGCAACGTGCGCCGACTTCCGGTCCCCCTCCGATGCGCCGCGATACTGGACGGGTCACTGGCCAGGTGGACAGAGAGGCAGCAGCGCAACCCCAAAGGGCACACTGGGGATTCAGCGTGAGAAGTGCCGTCGCGTCTGCCGGAGGGGAAACAATCCACCGCCAGGGCGGGTCCGCGGGGTGAAGTCAAAGACCAACCAGACGGACTTCGACTTCTCTTCGGCCCGTACCTTCACCCTCTCTGAGCCTCGACAGTCTTAGTTACAAACGGGACTTGCATGAAGATGTTTGATATTAAGAGCCAAAAAGAATAAAAGCTTTAATTTTCCACTCTGTACTGACCAAACCAGAGACAGACAGAGAAAGATGTGCGGTTTCAATTTCACCCACAGGAGCTGCTGACACATCCACACAGCAGGAGGGAGGCACAACTCTGTCCTCTGGGCCCGCGGGAACACTGGAGCAGACAGGGCACACTCATGGTATCTTAACGTGGACATGACTAAGTCCCCCGTCGTAGCCCTGCCTGCAGCGCCCGTGGTTTGGCTTCAGCTTCTGCGCAATCACAAAACCTTCTAAAAGCTGGCTTTCTTAACATCACGTGCAAGGAGTTGTTTGAGGAGCAATTTAAAATACACTTAGAAAATTCTTCACAATTATAGGAGGTGCAGGGTGTTAACCAATTAACCAATAAACAGGATAAAAAGAGGACTGGCACCATCTAGTTCTAATTTCAGGAAAAAACTCCATGGGTCTTGAGTACCTTTGTAAATTTCCTCTCAATTGATATGCAATTTGCTCAAACTGTTACTAATTTAAAATCTTAGATTTTAATAGGATTTTCAAACAACAAAATAGGATAATTAGATACGTAAAGATGGAAAATAAAATTTTTAAATGAAATGATTTTTACAATACTAAGCAGGCCTTAGTTGTGCTAAGGGACTCTGGCACTACTGCCAAATAACATATCGATGTTTCCAAAAAATGGGAATCTGGTTCCTGGCATGCGTCACTGCTTTCTATACACAGATTCACCCTGATTCTAAGTAATTAAGTTGATTGTGGGGCTTTTAAAATTATTACTGATGAATAGCTAAAGCTCTTTAAAACTGATACAGCTTACTAAATTTTTACATCAGAGCCTGTCAAATGAATTTAACAGTATCTGACGGCCTCTCTCCTTGTCTTCGATGGCTCTCCACTGCGTAAAGAAGGTCCAGCTTCTTAGGTATGGGGTCCTGGACCCTCCGCCGTCCAGCCCCAGCCTGACCGCTGTAGGTCAGCGGACTCCTTAGTCTGGGAACTTATCTTCGTTTTATTTGTGTGG